AGGATCAAGATTACTAGTAGACAAGCCATAATAAGGCAAATGTAATCCAATGCAGCACAGCTTTCATCACCAACTGTAGAAACCATTAATTGGTGAATGAGGGAGTAAATAATTGATTTTAAAAAAATAATCTGTAAACCTCTGTAGTCAAACAGCATTTTTAAGTACATGTTCACATACCAGACTTGTTAGCAGAAATTTTTTTTAAACAGATTTGTTCAGTACAGAGTGCTCCATTTAAAACCATAGCTAGAGAGTTGAGGTAAGGATAATGGTTTTTTTTATCTTGCTATTGTCAGCCTTCTAATGCTTGGATGCTTTCAACATATACGCTTAGTTTAAGTAAGTTTTCCATGCAGATCGTATCAGTCTTAATTGCAATTAACAGAATAAGTAGGGAGTGTTTTCTTTACTTTTTTTTGAATAACTTATTGTGTATGCTAGGTTTGCTAAGATAAATATAATTAAAGGACTTGTATCATTAAAGAGTTACTTGGATCAGACATAAAGCCATTTATGTGTTACTACGTTGCCCGCAGCAGTGAAAGAATGTTAACATTTCATTCAGTCTTTTGTTCAACATTTGGTTTCCTTTTATCAAAAACACCACACTGATAATTTGAGAAATAGAAGCTAAAAAATCAACGGCACACAACAAGTTAAGAGAATGTGTTTTAAAAAGAGCTAAAGCTGCTGCAGTAAATAAAATAATGTTAAAAGCTAGAAGAGAGGTCAAAGTTTTGACAGCACGAACATGTGCTCCTATCTTGGAGCCTCGAGTGTTATGTTGCATTGTTTTTAAATGTTTGTAGAGAGAGACAATGATGACTAAAGCAGAGGCAGCACTCAGTAAAAATCCAAATGAATACACTGTGAAGTATGCCACAACTGAGTTAAATGAATATTTCTGAATAGGCGTAAGTGTTGCTTCTTGGTCAGATGAGATCACTGATGCATTTGGTGGTATACCATTGGGGCTGCCAAAAGTCATGTAAACACTTAATAGAGCAGAACCTAAGATTGATGGTAAAAAAATCCATGGAAACATATTTTGGAATTTCTTTTGAAGAAATATGTAGAGTTTTTTATGGAAGTTCACAATTTTTAGGCAGAAGTGCATACAAAGCCAAGTGCAAAACCAGAGGTTGCAGGATAAAAAGGTCAGAAAGAAAAACGAACCATAATTTTTAATTTCTCTAGCAACCAAGATTGTTGTCTTCATAAAAGCATAATACTTGATGACTATCACGAGACTGTACAATAAATTGAAGGTGCTCATGATAAAGATGAGCTGATCCGTCACATGACGACTTGGGTTTCTGGTCCACTCAAGTAATGTTGCAACAAAAATAAACATGTTTCCTGGAATTGATGCTAAAAATGAGAGGATATCCATTGATATCAGAATTATATCTGGTACACTGAACATTGTGCTTGCTTCTGATGCGTTCTGGGGTGAATGCTTATTACAAACTAAAATGTTCATCTGTCCTTTCCAGATATGACCCAAGGCATTTCACTCCATCTAATAAATTATTTGATTAAATATGGGTGGTTTTGGAAATTACAAGATTCAAATTATATTTATTTGCATGCAATGCTATGTGTAGGTAGTCGAAGATTTGGAAATATGGTCTGTATTTGCATTACAATGTTTTTACAAGCCATGGCATCCTTGGTAATTAACAAAGAAGGCTGTGAAAATGTGTCTTTGATTAACCTTTTGATCTTTTGCTCAAAAATACTCTGCATTCATGGATCAAAAAGACAAAAAAACTTTTTAAAATGTCATAAATATTGGTGCCCCTATGAATTTATATGACAAAAATATAGTTGAAGTATATTCTTGTTGATATTTTTTTTTAGTACACCTGGAACAGGAAATTGTTCAACCATGAATTCCTGTTTCACATGGGTATAAATATGAGGTAACACATAGGCCAAATTCCTGTAATCATAAATAGTTTG